CCTGGCAGAGGTGGGTGCTTGTAACGCCGCGGCCTCTGGACCGCGCATCTCGGGGTGGGGCCCCCTCCCCAGGTCAGAGCCAGGCCCAGCCCCCTTTCTTCGCCAGGCCTGGAAGGCCCCCCTGTCACTCGCTGTGGGCGGCGGTGCCCTGAGCCCAGGGGCACCGGTCTCTCTCGTGTAGCCTCAGGGCGCGATCGTGAGCAGCCCCTCCTGGGAGCTTGTGGTCCTGGAGCGGGACACGCTGCCCCCCCGACCGAGGCTTGAAGAGGGAAGATTTACGGGGGAACGCACGTGGCCGGGAGGGAAGGAGCCCGCGCGTCGCAGCGGGGAGCGCGCTCGGGGGGGGGCACGTGGTTCCATTCACCGGGCACTTAGCGCCCCGTAAGCATCAGGCCTGTGCTCGGTGCAGGGACTAGACTCGGGGACCTCACAGCCTTCGGGGAGATACTGACGTAAACAGAAGGTTTAGCCACGTGATCAAGGAGGCGGTGCCTGCTGGTCCCCGGGACCGACTGAGCTGCTGAGGCCACCAGCTCCCGCACCCGACACCCACAGGGGACTTGGGCCCGTCCGAGGAGCGTCTGTGAGGGGCCCAGGGACACCCGGCTGGTTGTCCCAAGGCCTTCGAAACAACTGAACAAAACCATAGTGGTAACATTCAGATATGGTCTCAGGGTCCCAGCGGGCCATGCTAGTTCTCCACTCACTGCACCATCGCCACCGCCCCTCCCCCCTCCCCCTGCCACACGCACACACAGAGTACAGGATCAGGTCTGGGAGGATCCCACCTGTCATAGCAGTTCTGGCACATAGTACAGGTTCTGTCAATAGTCGGTGATTCAACTTCTTGCCCTTATCACATTCCCAAATTGGCTCCTAAAGAGAGAACTGGGGATTGAGCGAAACTGAATCGTGGGGAGTAGGATGCAGGTGACGGGCTTCAGCTTTGCTAAGGGGCTACAGTGTTTTCTCCTTTAATCAGGGGTGGTAATTATTTGTATACCTACGTTTGCCCCCACTAGACTACCGCCCCTAAAGGTCGAGGTCACTTTTCTGTCCTTACCTATTTGCCCACAGTCCCCACTAGAGAGTGTTCTTTCCATCCTTCCTGGGGTGGGAAGTGGGGTGGAACAATGGAACTAGGGAACTTGTTAAGTCAGTTAAATGTATGGTGTTTATTTCCCTTTTAAATGAGAGGGAAGAGTACAGGAATTAACCAGTGTTGACATAATGAGTGCACTCAAGTAAGGAAGGCAGTGTTTTAAATGAGCACTTATGACAGTTTGCTTATAGATCCCTCATCTAGGACCTCAGAACTTCAGGGTGTTCTCAGGGTGCGGGGAAGAAGACACATTTTCCCAGAATACTTGGGCTGCCTTGGCCCCTGGTTTTTCCTCAGGATTGTTCTCTATCAAGGAGCAGTTGTATGGACTTTTTTCCCATTTGCCCCTCAGTTCAGTCCCCTGGCATCACCTCTGCTCTCCTGAGGTAAGGGGTGAACTATACCCCATTCATGGGCTCAAGTCTTTGATTCCCAATAATCTCATAACATGGAAATTAATTGTGCAGGTTTCCTCCTGGCTTAATGAGTTTTTTTTCCAACTTCAGGATGAACTCAGTGGGGAAGATGGCTGGGAAAGCCCCAAGCGATCTAAGATCTGGGACTGAAACTTAGGTGGAGCTAACAGCTTATCTGGGTCTGGCTGTGTTATTGGTCAGGTACTGACTCAGGCCCTACA